TTGAACCTTTATCGGTTCGATTTTTTCATGTTGCCACGTTCGCTCATTCCTTTTTATACCCTGACCCCATTAAAAATGGGTATAAGGGTATATTGTATTTGTGCAAAATCCAAATGTGTGTAACAGGCAGAAGGAAACATCTCCGACCCAATTAAGTACATATACATTAATTCTTGATCAGCACCAATAGCCGAGGCGATCTAGCCATGTCCGTCTGTTCGTCCGTCCGTTTGTATGAACGCAAGGATCTCAGAACCTATAAGAGCTAGAGACTTGAATTTTAGAATTTTAGATGTAGTTCCCGCGCAGATCGAGTTTGTTTCCGATAATCGATAACTTACTCCGTTTTCAAGCAATCGATAAGAATCGATATCGATATTCTGTTTTTGGGCAATTTTGGTAAATATTAAGAGCTAGTCACCAAACTTTACATATAGCTTCTAAAAATAAAAAAATATATATAAGCATTTGATGTTGGAAGAAGAGGGTTCAGGGTATCCCCTAGTCGGGAGCTCCCGACTAGAACCTCTTACTTGTTTTTATTTACTACCCACACCAAGCTATAATAGGATAGGATCTAGATGACCGAATTTGAGAGAATATACGAATAAAGCAGAAAAAGTTTAACTGCAGGTATTTAAGAAAACTTATGCTGTACTTATGTTTATTGTGAAGTTCCAGTCCAGAGGTACAACCTATAAAAATTTTAATTGATTTAATTTTCATGATGCCACGTTCGTTCATTCCTTTTTTTACCTTAAACCCATTAAAAATGGGTATAAGGGTATATTGTATTTGTGCACAATCCAAATGTATGTAACAGGCAGAAGGAAGCATCTACGACCCTAAAAAGTAAATATATTCTTGCTCAGCACCAATAGCCGAGTCGATCTAGCCATGTCCGTCTGTCCGCATGTATGAACGCAAGGATCTCAGAACCTATAAGAGCTAGAGACTTGAAATTAGATGTAGGTGCTCCTAGTGCCTGCGCTGATCGAGTTTGTTTCCGATAATCGATAACTTACTCCGTTTCCAAGCAATCAATAAGAATCGATATTGATATCCTGTTATTTGGGCAATTTTGGTAAATAATAAGAGCTAGAGTCGCCAAACTTGACATATAGCTTCTAAAATAGAATATATATATGCATTTAATGTTGTGAGAAGAGGGTTCAGGGTATCCCTTAACGGGAGTTCCCGACTAAAACCTCTTACTTGTTTAATATCATTAGGTGAACAACTGTCGAACTGTCGAATGTATACAACATGAAGTTCAAATTAAGCGATCTACCTCTTGACATCAATAAATTCAATTAATGTTTATAATGTAAAAATTAAAAGCAAGAGATTCGAGGCACAGGCTTGAAAGTTTATATATAAGACCTCTAACCTTGCCCTCGCGAAAACAAAAATTAAGCGGGAGGGCAAAAATATTTAGTAAAAACCTTTAAATAGAGATGTTAAAATGCCGGTATTTTATTAAAGTCAAAATCAAAATGGAGCGCAAAAAAAAAAAACACGTCTGTTCACTTCAAAGATAAAAACGAATGTTATCACGAGTTAAGGTAGCTGTTAATAACCGAACTTCACCTTTAACCCGTCATTATTGATGTCTTCCTTACCAACAACTCCAAATAAATTGAATAAAATTCAGGTATTCCCAAAATTATGCTTGGTTTCCGTCTTCTTGTTTGTGAGTGTCTTCGATAAAAACAGCTGATTTGAATAGCAATTGAAACTGTTGAGATTGAGTGTCTCTAAAATTGTTTTTCTACACCACGTTTTTTTCCATTTCCATTTTTTTTTCATCTCTTGATAGTACAAAAAGTGGACATAAATAAGTTATAATTGTCTAATTTGTTGGGTGTATATAGCAGATTCGCAATTGTGATTGCATACTACTCTGTGCTATGTGCTTATGTTTTAACTCGTTATTTTTGCATTAAAAATGAAATGTTGTCGAGTATAGTTGAAGCGGTGGCAAATAGTTCGGTTGGTTACGGGTTCAAGTCAAATTGAGGAAACATTCGTTATATTTTGTTATTTAAATTGTTTACTTCTAAAGCAAATGTGCTACTAGCACGCGAGTGCGAGCTGCATTCGATGATTGCAAACATTTCCGACTATAGCCTCTTAATAACATTACATTTAGGATCACAAAAGATTGTGAAAGAATCATAATAGTAATTTTTTTTAAAGATGATATTTCATGAGGAATCGAGATATATAGGTTTGAAATTGATCCGCAAGAAAAAACGGGCTGGGCTGGATTGCGCGCGGATCTATCTCTGCATCTAGAAACTAAAGGTGCTTCAGTTTTGTTGATCGGGCAGATTCCTAGGTAAGGTCTATATGCAGATGTCGTACCACAAGGGTGATATTACAACAATCCCTTGGAGAAGGAATAACGGCTACATTGGGGATGTTCCCAAGCACGTCCAACAGCGGCGAAGATGTTTGTGCAGATTTAGCAGACTAAGTAAAAAATTGAGACTCTGTGACTGTCAATTAGATGGAGATAAAAAATTTTGAGTTGCAACGGGGCCAAGAGGTTAATGATGATGTAGCAAAATTAATTTGAAACGCCTGCTTTTCATAACATGCATGCCTCCTATATGAAAAAGGCGAATGATTTTTTGGGCAAGCCTAAGGTTTGGTCCAAACAGCTTCAAACTTCTTTTCAAATATCTTCATTAAAAGTTAATAAAAATACGTTTCAGCTATTTTGGAAATTCGATGCATAAATGCAGTAAATTGGTAAAAAACAAGTAAGAGTTTCTAGTCGGGAGCTCCCGACTAGGGGATACCCTGAACCAAAGACAATATAAACACTAAGATGAGTAACGCCCATACATTTGAATGCGACGCAAAATGTTTTGCCCGGCCTTTCATCTGGCATTTGAGGCTTCGTACGGCATGCCAGCCGACTGGTTGTTCGTTCTCCAAAGACCAGACGAACGAATGCCGAAGTCGCGGCTTGCTGATGCTGGCACGAGCTACGAAGTTAGTCGCCAGCCTGCCTTCAGCAAAGCTGGTCGATGCTGCTTTGCGTCGCTTCGTTTTCAAAGTAGATTGAGTAAAAAAGTTTAGAGCTTACGATCGACGCAAAGTGCTTGTGCTTTATCCATGAAATGCATGCCTTATTTAAATGATATATAACCCTAGATATTAACGAATAATTTCACAGGAAAATTTAAGAACTTATATAATTTTTACACAAGGCGCTTCTTGCGCAATAAGTATGTTAAGAAAATAGCACACATAGATTGATTTCACTTTTCTTTTTGGACAGTGTATGCTCGAGAAAAGTTCTTGTCTCAGCCAATAGCGTGTTTGCACCTTTCGTTGTATGCGTGAATTATACATGCATAAGATCTTCAAAGTACGTATGCATGTGTTGTTATTCACTGATCTGGCTTTAGCTGGCAAGAAATTAATTTTGTTAGTTTTCTAGTGCAGATCATGACCTATCACAAATTTATGTTGATATATGAATGCATTTTGTGTACTGAGGTTGGCTCCGCCCAAATATGTATTTCTAAGTCGATGCAAATACTTACATAATTTATTTTAATTAAATTAATATTATTTTTATTCTCCAATTAAGAAATGAAAGAGTGCAAAAAAATACAATTACATTTCAAGTCGACTCGAAGGTCATATTTAGTTATGACCCCATTATAATTATAATGGTCTCCTCGCGGTGTTCCCTGCTTACTTTGTTCTTTATAATTCGAACAAAAAATAAGAAAATAAAAAAAATAAAAATTAATTAAATGTATCTTTGAAAACAACAAATTTGCACTTTTATTTCCGTAATTTATTTTGTATTACTTAAAAATAATAATAATTTAATTAATAAATTAAAATATAAAAAATTACATAAATATTTGCATCGACTTAAAAATACAATTTTTTTTTATACGGAGCCAACCTTAGTACACGAAATGCATTCATATATCAACAGAAATTTTGGGTAGGTCGTGATCTGCTCTAAAAAACGCAGAAAATTTGTTTCTTTGCCAGCCAGAGACTTTGCCAGAGCAGTGCCTTTTTTTATACCCTGAACCCATTAAAAATGAGTATAAAAGTATATTGTATTTATGCGAAATCCAAATGTATGTAACAGGCAGAAGGAAGCATCTCCAACCCCATAAAGTGTATATATTCTTGATCAGCATCAATTGACGAGTCGATCTAGCCATGCCCGTCTGTCCGTCGATAACGATATTCTGTTTTTTGGGCAATTTTAGTAAATAATATGAGCTAAAGTCACCAAACTTGACATATAGCTTCTAAAATAATATATATATGCATTTGATGTTGGAAGAAGAGGGTTTAGGGTATCCCCTAGTCGGGAGCGCCCGACTAGAACCTTTTACTTGTTTGTTATTTTTATTTATTTATCAACGCGTAGAGTTTTTAATTACTTTAAAATAAAAATTATAATACTTTTTAATAAAAAATATAAATTTCGTTTGAGGGACTTACACGTCTGCAAAGAAATTTAAGTCTGTTGTAGAAGGACAATTTTTTACACTCTGTAGTCGACTAAAATTAATATTTTCTTTTTGTTTTTCCTTACAATTATAACTGGTAATTTTGATAAATTTTGGATTTTCTACTGAAGTTGTTGTGAGTTCAGTAAATGTCATCACGTTTTAAGGGCTGTTATCGATTCTTAAAAATGGATTTGGCGTCATTTTAGCTACTAGGTATTTTAAAGGGGTTTTTTAATGTGAAATTCATGTTACACAAAAAAGGAAGCAAACTGAAAGTTATGACAAGAAATAATTGCATAATAGGTGAAAAACACATTTAATTGGGAAACAAGATGTGTGATTGAAGCAAGAGATGGCCGAAGAACGAACGGAACTTTAGTTGACATTCTGTTCTGTTCTGCGTCCATATGCCCACAACATTTCTTACACTTACAGAAGTACGCCTTCATATATATTAAGTTTGCAAGTCTTAATCACTATTTTTTATACCATTCTTAGGTTTACACAGAATCTATCCACTTTTCGACGAGACGTAGTTAATCTACCAAAATCGGCAACATATTCGACAGGTATGTAAAATACATCAATAGCATCACATTTACTTTTTTGAAAAAATTTGTTTATTATCCTAGCGTCAAAGCGCTATCCATGTAATACATAGATACTTCAAACGGCATAATAATCGAAACAAGATAAATTGATTAAAGTGACCCCATTGGTGCTTGCGAGCGTTTTTGTATGCCCAGAGCGAGAAAAACTACTGAGAGTGGCAGCCGAACGCCGGCCAGCAAATCGGGGAGATGCGGCGCTCACAGCACATCTGTCTGGTTTCTCTTAAGCCCGAGGGTGAATACCTGAAGGGCGTCTCATCTGGATTTCTCACAGTGTGGTTGTTTAGATTTTGAAGACTCACAATTTTCCTTAGGCAGCCTTTCCTTTTTTTTATATACCATGAACCCATAATGGGTATAAGGGTATATTGTACTTGTGCAAAATCCAAATGTATGTAACAGGCAGCAGGAAATATCTCCGACCCCATAAAGTATATATATTCTTGATCAGCATCAATAGCCGAGTCGATTTAGCCATGTCCGTCTGTCTGTCTGTCCTTCCGTCCGTCTGTCTGTCCGTCCGTCCGTCCGACAGTCCGTATATATGAACGCAAGGATCTCAGAATCTATAGGAGCTAGAGACTTGAAACCTTAGATGTAGGTGCTCCTAGTGCTTGCGCAGATCGAGTTTGTTTCCGATAATCGATAACTTACTCCGTTTCCAAGCAATCGATAAAAATCGATATAGATATCCTGTTTTTTGGGCAATTTTGGTAAATAATAAGAGCTAAAGTCACCAAACTTGACATATAGCTTATACATTGGAATATATATATGCATTTTATGTTGGAAGAAGAGGGTTCAGGGTATCCCCTAGTCGGGTGTTCCCGACTAGAACCTCTTACTTGTTTACGTATATTTTTATTACTACTAAAACAACTTTGGTGTTGGAAGAACATAGTTCATGGTATACCCTAGTCGGAAGCTCCTGACTTGTTTTTTTTTTTTTTATTATTTTATTTTATTCTTTTCTTTCTCTTTTAAATTCGATATATTTTAACGAATTCGGTTTTTTTGTTTTAAACATAAATTGAACTTGCTCACACGCTTTTTCTTAGAATTATGAGTGATCCAGTCTCTTCTCAGTTTGACTTTAGTTGATTTGCACTCGCAGTTGTCTTAGTTTCGCTTCTACAGCCCGAAAAGCTCCTGTTGCTTTAGTGTCACATTTATGTGTGCGCCTCACTTGTCGCACTCTGAGTGTTTTTTTTTTTTGTGAATATTTCTCGTAGCGTTAAAGTTTTTCCATGTAATTGTTTTACAAATTATATTTGTCTTTATTTGACTTGTTCTTTGATATTTAGCCCAGTTGTGGGATGTTTTTTTTTTGTATGTTTTACGTTTTGGATACATTTTTGTTGCACAGTTGGTCGGCAATTAATCATTCACATTAGTGGGAATATTATTAACTGCACATCTGCGTTAGCGCATAATTAAAGATAAAACCGGTAGTGGAATGAGTCGTTTATTATAAAAGACGAAGGCGCTCTGGTGTATAGCCAAATCGAAACTTAATCTAAAAGCAATTCATTCTAACGTGTGTTCTGTGTTCTGAGTAAGAGAGCGAGATCCCGATCGGAAAAATCGAAGTAGACGAGGGATCAGAACTTAAGGGAATCAATGGCTACCAACAAATTTTTTAGCTGTCCCATATAGATGTTGAATGGTTAGTGGTACAACCAGTAAATAATACATTTTAGAAATATTTCCATCTTGTGGGTAGCACCTTAAATTTTAGGTAATACTTTTTTACCCAGATTCGACCCGTGCATAATTTAATTTTCAGCACTATCATGACTGCAACTTCTATTTCGAAATATATATAAAGTCCATTGCATAAAGAATTTAGTTGGTATCAACGGTCTCCGCCCATTTAAGTCTTGTGGATAAAATCTTGAACACGAAAAACAAACTTTCGGTTATGGTGATATTTTGCGGGGTATTTTGCGAAAATTGTAATGCAAGTTTCAAATTACAAAGGTAGAAAATCTGTGCATCTCATTTCAGTTTAATGCAAGGGGGATGAGGGAACGTATCTAAGAAGTTAAATTTTATCGATCTGTGTATACTTTACGAGTCATCATATAAAGTTTTGTGCCTTTACCTCTGCTTTGTGCGCAAAACGGGATTTCGATAGCGATTTAATAAATTCCTTAGAAACGAGCAAGTTTTCGGTTATTTGAAACAAATTTTGTACTGGTGCAAAATAAGAAGCTACGTTCAAAATTTAAAGTCTACATCGACTCATTTATACATACGTAGGGACGGAAGGACGTACATGTACTGTCTGTTCAAGAAGCTAGTTCGCATAAAAACAAACAGAGCTATATCAACTTAGAAGTCGATATATATATGCTTTTTAACGGATTCAAAGATTCCTTCTGGGCGTTGTTAATTTCATGACAATACCCCATACAAGAGAATAAAAATATAATAATAAGTACACATATATCTTCAAAGAGGGAAATGTAACGTTATCATGCTATTTTTCGAATAATTTATACATGCGCTCTACACTACCCTTCGTACTTCGCACTAGTACTCTTGGAACTGCATGCATGTAAAATATATGCATGAGAACGCCACAAATTTAATACGATGTTAGTACTTGAGAGTTCAAGGTTTGACCACTAACCATAGATGCGTCAAACAGCAAAATAATCTAAACATGATAATTTGATGCGAGTCCCGTGAGTGTTTACTATTTTGTTATGCCCAGAAAAAGAAAGACTGCCCAGAGTGACACAAAACGCACAAAAGGATCTACCAAAAAACCGAATGCAACGCCAGCCCATAGAAAAAATCCCTGGTTCGCAAGAAATACCGTGATATAATTGCTCTACTTATCCAAACAACACAAAAAAAGTGTGTTTGTAGATCTCGTGGTCTTTTAAAGAGCTATGCAGAAGCGCAAACCCATTAGTGATAGCGAAGCACACGATGCTCATGTATACAAACATATGTTTATGGCCTGTACGAAGTTAAAGGTAACACACATAATTTAAACAAGTAAGAGGTTCTAGTCGGGAACTCCCGACTACGAAATACCATAACCGTCTAATTCCAACACCAAATAAATTAAAACAAGAAAGAGCTACTAGTCGGGAGCTCCCGGTAAGGGAATACCCTGAACCCTCTTCTTCCAATATCAAATGCATATATATTCTATTGTATAAGCTATATGTCAAGTTTGGTGAATTTAGCTCTTATTATTTACCAAAATTTCCCAAAAAAAAGGATATCGATATCGATTTTTATCGATTGCTTGGAAACGGAGTAAGTTATCGATTATCGGAAACAAACTCGATCTGCGCAAGCACTAGGAGCACCTACATCTACGGTTTCAAGTCTCTAGCTCTTATAGGTTCTGAGATCCTTGCGTTTATATATACATACGGACGGATGGACGGACGGACAGACGGACGGAAGGACAGACAGACAGACGGACGGAAGGAAACACAGACAGACGGACATGGCTAGATCGACTCGGCTATTGATGCTGATCACGAATATATATACTTTGTGGGGTCGGAGATACTTCCTGCTGCCTGTTACATACATTTGGATTTTGCAGAAATACAATATACCCTTATACCCATAATGGGTTCAAGGTATAAAAAAAAGGAAAGGCTGCCTAAAGGAAATTGTGAGTCTTCAAAATCTAAACAACCACACTGTGAGAAATCTAGATGGGACGCCCTTCAGGTATTCACCCTCGGGCTTAAGAGAAACCAGACAGATGTGCTGTGTGCGCCGCATCTCCCCGATTTGCTGTCCGCCTTGGTATTAGCCTAGGAAATCGAAGCAAACGATGTGAGATAACACTTCGCAGAGAATTATGCCAGAAGCCTAGAGGAGACGGCCTTTAAATCTGCGCAGCGTTCTAAAAACCAAAAGCATTCTAAACAGTATGAACAAAAAAACAGGGTGTACTATGGACAGGGTTAATGCCGTTCCTTCAAGAGCCAACATGGTGAGCAGCGCCATGCCGAACAATCCCAAAGACCTAAGAAAATTAAATAAGAATCCGCGGACACATTGGATGTAGAGGTTTTCAGTTCAAGGCTCAGGCAGCACACTATCCATCAGCAAAACCAATGTTCGGGGATGCAGAATTTAAATGAACGGGCAGCAAAAAGAGAGAGTGGCAAAGGGTAAACCATGTTGCTGAAGAAGAAGTGGTGATTTTAATTTATCAGTGGAAGGTCCCTTCTGCTGTCCGAACAGCGAAATGTAATATAAGTAATCTTGAAATTCTCAACAGATACGGGGGTGTCCAAAAATTATATAAAGCTTCATAAACTTAGTGTCTGTAGATACCACTTCCCGATCCGTTTCATTTGCGGATCAAATAATAACACTCAAATGCTTGTTGAAAGTACTTGGCGTAGGCATCCCATTATTTTTCTTAGACTCACTAGTTAGATCTGTTAACGCATAGATCTATATGAATACCTATACCAGCTTAAAGGTCATTGAAATCAATTTTGGGAATGTATTAGAAAAGATACAATACCAAAGATGCAAAAATGTTCACTTTACCAAAGTTAATAATGTTAAGCATATCCTTACTAATAGCTTTTATATCCCTACCCAATGGGAGAAGCCGACTTCGAAACTCCTGAAGTAGAAGAGCGGCATTATTAGAGAGTCACGATCCCTCTATAATAATCCAATATAAGTGGTCGACAAATAGGGAAATGACGAGCTGGGTAATAAAAAAAGCAGATGGTTATAGATATTCGTAAGCTTAACGAAAATCCCTGTCAGACAAGAACCCGATTTTAGATATATCAAAGATTTTAGAAAATCTAGGAAAACCCAGATGTTTCACGATACTGGATCTAAAGTCCTATCATCAAATTCTGTTTTCAGAACGCGATCGAGAAACGAATTTACTTTCTGTTAAAAAAGGAAGGTATGAGTTCTTTCGACTCCCATTTGGACTGACAACAAAG